CAAGCTGATTAATGACAAAAAGAATTTCAGAAAAGAAGTGTAAAGAGACTCGCGCGAAATGATTATTTAAACGTAAGGATATAAAGAGAAGATTTTTAGTTTCGGAAAATAAGTTTTAAATTCATTTAGAAAGCTCCTCTATTGCCTTTTTGCTCCCTTCTCCATGGAACATAATGCATGTGTAGTATAAATTAAAATGCCATATAAAATAACATAGAAAAATCGTTAAAATAAAATAATTAAGAATAAAAAATTATTTCACCCACATGTTACTTTATGTTTTATTTGTTAGTCTGCGTAGAAAAGTATATGATTCGAAAATTTTTGATATAGGTTCGTAAAAAGTTGAGCTATTTTTCGGGATGCGCGGCTTCATTGTCTTCGTTTACTTTGCTTTCCATATCTTCAATTTTTTTGCTCAGGCCTGAGAGCGATAAACTTAGCTTTATTATGTCAACAATAGCTATAGGTAAAAAAATGTGACCCCCAATGATGGCATTAAAAATCTTTAAAAAAAAAACGACGCAAGGAATGTCAGAATTTGCGATAAGTCAAGTGAAGTCTAATGGCTGCTGTTGTGGATGAAATTCACGCGAAATTTTCAATTTAAACTTTGGCTTATTTTTTTGTTGTTGATATCGTTGCAATTTATTAGAAATGTTATACGCACAACATTTAACATGAGTTGTTTTCCTAGAAGCTGGAGGTGTGCAAATATTGCTGACCTATAACAATTATTTTCTACCTTACGAAAATTTTTAAGAAATTATTATATAATCACGTGAATAACTACCTGCTCCGGTAATAAACTTTTTGATAAACTCGCGTTTACCTTTAGATCCAGACATACCTGCGTGATTTCCTTCATAAAAATTATATATCATACGCAAGAATTTCTCGCCCCATCAAACTTTTCGAAGGCACCTGTTCGGCTGCTGATCGCAATATTCTTCGTACTAAATCGAAATATATGCACATGTTCTCGTACACCGTGCTTAGCAGGAACATATGACTAGAGGGCATGTCAGCGATTGGATCTCAAAATAAAGCGCTAAACACAATGACCGCTTTTCGTTCACGCATGCGCGAACTGTCAAAATATATTTGATTATACGTGTTTACGTACGTAGTTGAGCATATAGCTTGCTTTGCTTACTTTGCGTCAAAGCGAGCGTGCAATTTTGCAAAAATTTAAAATTTCTGCTTACTTGGAGTTTTCCGCGATGATTCATCAATAGCGCAATAATTTAGAAAAATAAAGCAACAACAACAACAAAAGAAATATATATGGCTAATATTTCAGTCTTTAAATCAATTAGTAAAAAAAAAATATCATTATGATAACAAGTAGAAGGAGGAGAAATCAAATTAAATTGTTTGGCAAAGAGTGGTTTGCGAAGAGCATATGTTGTTGAAGCAGCTAACCAATGCAATGTACAAGAGCCAAGAAGTACGCAAAAGCAAAATAAAGCTTCAAAAAGGAAAGCCTAGGAACCAATATTCAAAAAAGTAGTAATATCGAGTATAAGTGCGATATAAAAAAATGTACAAACAATTGAACTCAATCTATATATTTTTTAGTTGAATAGTGCAAAGTAAGTGAGGCGGAGATCGTCAAAAGATCGCTTTTGTCAGACGCTGCGATAGGAAGGCAGTATCACACAGTGCTTTCACTCCTGACAGCATCAAACAGAAATTCGACGAGAATGTGGAAGATGCCGTAGCGTCGAATCAGCAATTGTGATATGTGTATGAGGAAAAGTGAATCGGTAATGAAATTGATTGCAAATCCAGTACCCTTTAGCAATGAGTTGTCGGCAAGTAGCGCTCCTAGCTCTGGAATGCAATCTGGCTCTTCAAAGCAATAAGCTCTGAAGCTGACATATTTTAGGAAGCGATTTTAAAATTTACGGATCTAGTGGAAAAATTGCGAAAGCAAGAAAGAGAGAGTGACGCTCAATTCGAAAAATGCGCTTATGTTTATGTGACTTTATGCTATACGAGCATCTGCAAAAATACACAATGAATTAGTTTAGCTTGTACACTCTAAACGAATACTTTGCTCTTACGCTTTTCCTTATAATAATTTTGGTAATTATATATAAAATATCACTCATTTGAAGATGGTTTTGCTAGCATTGTTCGCCGATAACCGCCTTTCTTTACGCAATCGATCTTCAGGGCCTGGTATTTACCTCATCGAAATTCGCTTCGGAATTTCAATTTTTATCTTGTGTAAAGACGATAGTCCTCCCTTATCGTCCCGATGGTTGTACTAGCAAAAGTGTGCTCTCGTCATTTATCGTCCTTTGTCGTCCAAGTTTTACCTTTTAAACCTAAAAGCCCGATGATATTAAAGATCGCTACTCAACTCTTGTGTGAACCTACCAGGAATAATTAAAGTTGTCTTCTACTTTCAAAAGATCACTTATTTTCTTCACCTTTGTCTTTTGCTATAAAAAAAAATTACTATTTGAAAAAAAATTTTTTTATTTAACTAATTTCTTCGTTAACATTTTATGTATGCAAACGCATAAGCAAGCAAACAAAACGCAGTCATTGTGTTCAGCGCCTGAGGCTGTGAGATGCACGACCAGCTATAGAGGCATGAAAATTATTCAAATGAGACACTACAAGCCTAATATCTGAAGGGCATTCTTTGTTTTTTTTTTTTTTTTTTTTTTTGTGTATGCTATCAAACTATGGAATGCGTGGCTAACAATTTGCAAAAGACCGCTAGTGCTGCAAGGTTTAGATGCTTACACTCAAGACAGTCTAATGTTACTACTTGTGATAAGCTATAGTATATCGTTTTATTTATTTTCTTTTTTCTTACTTTCATTACATTTTCCGACTGAAATCGTAATCTTATAAGTGTATTATGCTTTACATTGCGAGCAAAAATATTATATTGATATCCTATTTATTTGATAAGGCTTGAAACTTGCTGCATAGTTGATCACTTCAAGCAAACAAATCAAATAAATAAACAAAATCTTATCCCTTTATAAAATAGGAGCTTGAAGCAGGTAAACGGAAATGTTTGCAAAAGTTGTAATAAAACCAGAATGACATTAACGTTCACGAAAAGCATGATCCATGCAGTCACGAGACTTTCAGACTAGCGGCTCAAGCAAACAAATTATACTTAATGGATACAGAATGAATATCTGACGAACAATTATCGCGAGAGACGTTTTAAATTTGTTTTTTTTTTTTCATAAAAATCATAATGCATTTATTTACATTAAGGAAAAAATTATGTAATTACATAGATAACACATTATAATGAAAAAGAATAATAAAAAACAGTTATATATAAAAAAACACACAACAATTATTAAAATATTCTATATTACTATACATATATTAGCACACGTACTGATGGCGGTGTTTTGTAGCATAATAATTGCAAGGTTTCGTTAACTGCGATAGTTTGTGGTGTTGGTGGTAGTGATGATGATATTGTTTTGGTAGTAATGCAGCCCACTTCACATTAAAGATTTTCTTCATTCGGGCGGTGCTTCTTCTAAATTCATAAAAACATTACGCATATGCTCCAGATCTGGTGGTGCAGTATCTGGATTACGTATCCATATGTTATAGGCACGTTTGTCCGTCATCGTTAGTGGTTTAAAGCATTTCGGATTTAAAGCTTCTTCGCCGCTTATTTTAGAATTGTAACGAGCGTAAAGGAAAACACGATAACGCCAATTGTCGAAGGTCTACGAAGAGGGGGAAAAACAAAACACAATAATTATGATGAAATCATAATTCAAAAAAAAAAAAAAGAAAAAAAAAAAGAGCACAAACCTGCTTCCATTCGGCCACATGCTTGACAGCACCCTGGGGCACTGAGTTCAAAACATCCGCTAATTTTAACCAATAACGATTTAAAGCCGGATCATTGCGTCGATGTTCATTGATAATGGGATTCTGTTCCAAGAAGTTAACATAGACCTCTTTCTGTTTTTTGGACATGCGTTCTTTGCGTTCTAATTGCGAAATTGGAAATTGATAAAAGTATTTCACACAATTTTCTCTCTTTTTCACTCACGCCTTAAACTATTCGAGGAGGAACTTTCTTGCATTAATGCTTCTAAATGGGATTGATGCTGATGCTGGTGTTGTTGTTGATGCTGTAAATGCTGTTGCTGAATAAAATACTCATGCATGCGCTCTAAATGCAGTTCTTGCTCTTGAAACTCACGATCCATATACGATGTTTCCTCATCCGTATCTGGATTGTTGTGATGTAAATTCAAAGCACCTGTCGCTGGCGCTATTGTTGGTGTTGAGGTTAATGCTAAGGCTGTCGATGTACTTGGGTGCTGCTGCTGCTGCTGCTGTTGTTGTTGTTGTTGTTGTACTACACTATTCGCATGCATGGGCGGTGACGGTGAAGGCAACTCGTCGTAATCGATTTTAGGCTCAATTTCAATTTGTTCGCCCTCATTGCATGGCTCATTATTGCTGCCAGCAATTGTACTCGTAGGTAGTGTATTTACATTGGTAATGCGTAATTTAAGTGGCGGTTCTTCCGGACCGCTTTGTGAGTGTTGTGAATTGGAAGCGCTGGACGATGTCTGCTGATGATGCTGCTGAAGTCCTGACTGTTGACTGGCGTTGGCAATGCCTGTCATATGGCTGGCATTGCTGTGTACATTTTTTGAAGGCTCATGCAAATCGAGAGCTTGCTTTTGTGTCGAACCACAACGACAGGAAACACAATTAGAAATTAAAGTGTGATAGTTGTCCTTACAAGGATCGAAAACTGTAAAAGAAAATGAAGGCTCAGTTTAAAATGAATTTTTATATATAGTTTGAACTTCTGACGCGCAAAATTAAAAACGGTTATGTGTGTTTAAAAATATATATATATATATATATTTAATGATTACCTTTGATGTATACAACAACTTAAGAATTTTATGATACAGTTTTTTTATATTCACTCATATAAACTATTTGTAATTATATAATATATACATTACGTTTGTTATTATATCGAAACGACGCAAGAATGACTTGCTGTACATCTAGCAATTTATGATTTAGTATTGTAAAACAATTTAATGGTTTTCTTTCTCAATCAGTAATCATAATCGGGTTGGGTTTCATCCAAATTGCTAAACATTTCAATTTTCCCGTCAAATTCAGGAGGTGCGGTGCTCTTATGACTGGTCCACATAACATATGCCCTTTGGTCCGTGGATGTTAATGGTTTATAATTTTTAGGATTTTGGGCCGCAACACCGGTCAGTTTCGTGTTATAGCGGGTGTACATAAACACTCTGTAACGCCATGCGTCGAATGTCTAAACAGAACACACTTGAGATACAATAAAGTAAAACCATATTTACTTCCAGGTCAAACCTGTTTCCACTCTTCTACATTTTTGACGGCCCCCTGGGGTACGCTATTCAAAAGATTGGCTAATTTATTCCACAAAGGTTCCAGCATAACGTCATTGCGACGTTGGGTGAACATGCAGGGATTCTCCTCAAAGAATTTTACATAAAGTTCTTTTTGATCTTTGGACATACGTTCCCCACGTCCTAAAGTAAAGCAAAATTTTTAATGTTTTCATATAATCAAAATGTAAATGCGGTAATTACTTCTAAAACGATTCATCATGGCCGGTGAATATTGCGTTTGTGATTGTTGATTGGAAGCATGTGATATGTGTGGTGTGGGCGGTGGTGGCTGAATTTGCAATGCTGAAGGTAAAGGGGAACTAGGAGGATTTGCCACCGCTGTATTTCCCTGATTACTTATGATGCTACCATGGTGGCCATAGTTAGGCATAAAATGTTGGGATAGTGACTGTTGCTGTTGGTGCTGCAGATGTGGCGGTTGCTGCATTTGAGTTTCACTCGCTTGCTGTTCCTGATGATGAATTTGTGGTTGCATGTCCTGCTGCTGCTGCTGCTGCTGTTGTTGTTGTTGCTGTTGCTGTTGCTGCTGCTCCTGGTGCTGATGTCGATTATAGCGCATCTCTTGCGTTTCACTCAATTCCGTCTCATCTTGTTCTGATTTTGGTATTATGTCCATTGGATCGATAGATTGCGTTAACGATTCCGGCGTATGCTCATTATAGACTTGTAGCACTCGTATTCGATGGGCCGGTTCTAAATTGCTTGAATTATTTGAATGATTTTCCATGCCATCTAACGGCGTTCTCGATCTTTGTATTAAACCGCCGGCAGATATCGTATTTGCATTGCTACCGTACATTTGCTGGATTTGCGTAGCCATCATAGCCGAATCATTTGTAAGCGAATCGTTCGACTTTTGCGGCAAGGGTATACTAAGCTTTTGCGAACAGGACGGTTCATAACTGATTTGATCCTTCAGATTGAGAGCTGTATCATCATTACCTGCAAGAAGAAGCATTTTAAAATGCTGCGCTTTAATAGAGAATAAAAACATTTCAGACTTACAAGCGATTTAATTAACAGGTGAAGGTAGTAGGAGAAGCCAAACTAATGGTTTTTTAGAGATAAGATTTACTTCAATTTTTTTTTTTTTTTCTTTACATAAAAAAAATTTCGAACACGCTACGATTTATATTAAAATTATTAATGTACAACAAATAAGAGAAACTATTGCCAAAATATTTTACAACAACATCTAGCCAAAAATCTTTTGGTCAATGTTGATGGGATTTTTTTTACATTGTACCAAGCTTCAAGTTAACATCCAATATTCGGATTACAATTTTTTCTATTGCGCGCCTGGTTGCAAAATAATTATGTCCGCTTCGCATTTTCACGTAAGTTTAATTAACTGAATCCCCGTTAATGCATAACCCGAGTAATCAATTTATATCTGCTGTGAATTTAAAATTCTTTGCCCATTTTACTCTTCACTTTAATTTTCTTTTCTTTAATAGTTAAATACAAAAATATAAGCTTTTCGTTATACCCACAGCACTGTAAGATGGCGGTAGAGACTCATTCTATTTTTTTGCGATAATAACTGCAACACCCAAAAAAAAAAAAATTAAGAGACCCCAATAAAGTATACATATTCTTGATTAGCGCGAAATTCTGAGTTGATTTAGCCATGTCTGTCCGTCCGTCTGTCCGTGGTCTTAAAAATGAACATATCGACTTCAAATTTGGATACAGAAACATTGCGCATTTCTACACACTGCTTGATATCGAAAACGGGGCAAATATTGGTCAGAGCAGAGGCCCGCAGTGAAGTGTGTAAACTGAACGCAACTTCATTTTTTTTTTTTTTTAACATACACTTTTGGGCTTTTTGCTCGTCACTCGGAAATTATTGAAGTTCAAAGGTTGAAATTTTCTACATTTACTTTATGAAAAATTCCACTGTTTACGTTCAAAAATGGAAACAATCAGCCATGCCCACACAAAGTTACGAGTAATTCAATTTTATTTATATCGCACTTTTGAGGTTTTATGCTTACTTAACATAAGGCAAAATAAAAAACTGTAAAAAAATGTTTAAAACTATCTCGTATTCGATATATATTGTTAAGTGTGTTAATTAGTATGAGAGCTATAGTGTCTGTAGTGTCAGATTACAGTCATCTTCAAATTATATCTACGGTCATCAATTATGATTATATATGTTCTCGCGGAACTTAGTCGACTCACCGCTGTATGATGAGTAAAAATAATTATAATTTGTAGACTCTTTAAGGCATACATCTGAGTGTTGCAAGCGTAACTTAACGTAAGTTACGCCTATATTCAAATTTTAGAAATTTTCAGACTGTTAAGCAACTTGACCACAATCACTTGGAAAATCTTTTGAATGATTTCAAATCGTTTCGGTCAGTCAGTACTGAAGGGGGCACCTTGCGGCCCCCGAGTACGTATAGTGCTTATGCAATTAAAGATTGCCGTAGACTTTGATATTTAAGATATAATTGTTAGGATAAAATTGCAGAATAAAAACTTACTATAGCCCGAAATCCAAAAGAGAATCTGTTTATTAGATACACTTATTCACTTCAATTTCGATTGATTTCGGAAATCGGTGAATAGTTGACATCTGAAATTATAATACCTTGACTTATTGCGATAATGTACGAATTTTTGAAAAATTGTCAACATTTTCAGATAGTGTCCGGCATTCGTAGAAAGAATAATTCTGAATGTTAGAACAATGTCATAGCGAAGTATTCCCAAGCAAAAAATGGTCGTAGGATTATTCGAGTTCGAACTCGCAAAAGGTCGTTACCCTGCACTAAAATGGCCTCGAACGCAAAGCGTTAATTGTTAAACCATTTAGTTACAATATTCGAAATATTGTAAAGAAAAATCGTTCGCTCTTGCGCAAGTTTCAATAATTATTGATAATTTAAATAAATTTTTGAACTTGAAATGTTTTTCGTCTTACGTACCTACCGCTAATTTCATAATTCCAAAGACTACATTTGAATATATAAAGATATAAGAACTAAAATGAAATTGATTTCGAAAGTCTGTTAGAATTTGACATACATTCATTTTGCAGGAAGTTCTTTAGTTCTTTAGAAATCTGATAATTTGGGAAGCTTTGCAAGCATCAAAGAAAACTTCCAGGGAACGTGCTTTCTTTAAACTATAATTACGTATATGATTTACGTTATAATAATAACGAAAAATATTCACGACGCGGAGTTGCAGTGAAACTTGGCACGAAAATTCAAATCGAAATTTCCGTGAAACGAGACGAATACAATTCGGAAAAGTTTAAGTGTAGGATAAATTTTAAAGATTAAGACAACGATGTGCACATCCGAAGACGAAAGGCACACATTTTTTCAAACCCCTGTCTTCTTAAATCAATGAAGAATGCAAGTGCCAAATTTCGAAATTCATATCTTAATCTTTGTAGCTGCGGCAATTCCACAAACGGAGTAAACCAAATTGGCTCACCTTGCTTCAAAAATCCAAATGTCAATAGATGTAGAAAAATGCATGCATTCAAGCATCTTTTCAATGTAAATAAAAATTATAGAAAAGAAAGTTGCGAAAATATTACCCGCCGCTTTATAATCATTTATTCGAGACTCGAAATTTAAAATGAATAAAAAATTGATCGAAGTTTAATGTCGAAACAGATTAAAAAATGTAATGTTGTAAGCATTTTTACTATGTATATAGCATTAAAAAAACTCGCCGCCAGATTGCAACTGTGCCAACGACGATATAAATTCGAAGTCTGGCTTGAGCGGATCTTTATACATTTAGGGAATTGTCATAAAGAAATAAATTTCTTAAAGGTCAGTGCTCCAAGGACAAGGAACGGATCGTTAGCAAGTAGACATACTGATTCCGTATGGAGTAGAGTGCTGAATTATATATGAAAGAAAGTGTTTCTTCAAGCTTACCTTGTCCAATTTCTATAACGAAATTTGTTAGATCATGACGTTGGGCCAAATACTGTAACAACAGCTCATCTGGTATATTGAAGCCAATCTTTTTGTTGCGAAACTCAAAATTATAGATCCCGAACGCAGCGCGTACTGTAAAGAGAATGAAATATGAAAAAAGCCGAGTTTTTAACTGTTTTCTCTATAAAGATCATCAAAGAGCTTGATTCGGTTCGGATTAGAATTTTTATGTTTTTCTTTTCTTTTCTTTTCTTTTTTTTTTTTTGATTTATTTCTTACTATCTTAATGTATTGTATTAATGCTTCAGGTAACATGTTAAGTAAATTTCTATTAATTGGCTTACGTGCAGTAATTAATAATAGAATTTAAAACCGTTCTACATAATCAAAATAAAAGTTTATAATTCCTTTAATTAAGATTTATTTTTCTCTTCATTTCGCAAGTATGGCTACTAATAAGCAAATCATTTTTGTCTTTAAGTGACATTGGCAGTTTTCGTTGTTCCCGACATTCTCTAGTTTACAGAGAAGGGACACTTAGTATAAATCCTGCAATTGAAATACGTCTTGACAGTATCTGGCACTCTTGCATGGACTGTTTTATTGAAAACTAGCAAGTACACTTGGATACCCTTGGATATACATATATATATATATATATATATATATGGATGGAAGTGTAATATTCCTTTTTTTTGCAGACTAAGTGCTAATCGTATATTACAAGTAACTGTCATTTGCGGGCTATTTGCGAAGGTAATGCAAAAGTCGACTTTAATGATTTTGTCTTATGGACATAACAAGCCGAACTTGCACGAAGATTGAAAATTTAATATATTGGATCTAGTTATTTGCAATGTCATCAAGCAAGTAGCTCTAGCATTCAACGTGTACGCTGACGCCATCTCAGGTCGAATGAACTTGACTCTTCTTTTAATATTTTATTTGTGTATACCTGATCGCTTCCAGTATTTATACAAGGTACGAATTATAGTCGACTTTAATCTTATCATACCTATAAGAGCTAGCAACTGAAATGAAATTTTCCATAATGCGGCGATTATGACCAATGCAGCAGCATAAGACTTTGCTCTCTGAGTGCAGTAGCTTGCAATGCTTGCACATACACACATCCCAAAAAAAAAAAAAAAAAAAAAAAACAAAAAACAAAAAACAACAACAACAAATAATAATTGAACAATTGATCACTAAAGTTCGATTTTTCTACAAAATGAGAAAAGGCAGGTCAATAAGATTGTTTCATATGACAACAACACTTAGTGATATATTGGAAAACCATTTCAAGGAGGAAGCTCTCAGTGAACATTTAAACATTTCAAATAGAGAGGTAAAGAAAATTAGTGCTTTATTGGACAACCTCGAGATTTAATGATTACCTTTATCATTCATTACATAGAGTTGGTCAAATTCTGAGTAACGGACAATTTTTTTGCGACTATTGCTTGATAAAAAGTCACGAAAATTGTGGCAAGAAAACATAGTTATTTCTTACGGCTTATCACCACTCACGACACAAAAGCACGGCTGTCAGTCTTCCTAGCTTCTTGTTTCGTGACGCCCTACTCTCATATCCTGAAAATCACATAGTATCTCGATAGGGTTTACATCGATGAGTTGCGGCTTCCCTTCCAAAAACGGTAATGTCTTTAAAGACACTCTGCCGCTTAAAGTTAAACTGTTTTTCAATATATTAATAATATACAAAAACTTGTTCATCATTTCCAATTCCTACGACCATCGCCCTGCTTTAGATTTCTGCTGTTTTGCGCCTGCTGTTCTTCGTTGAATTGTTCAACAACCTCCCCACGTCCTCTGCAAACACAGATGTTAAAATTACTTCTTTTCTTTTTTTTTTTGAGAAAACAACATCTTTCAACAAATGCACCCGTTTTTCGTTTTCTTTGGCAAACAGAGGGCACTCCTGGCGGCTTGATTTTATTGGTGCATGGCTTTTCTCTAACATAAAATGTAGAAATTATTTTTCTTTCTTATTTCGTATTGAAGAACATTAATTAATGGTTCAAGCGATCCGCCGTTCAAATTAATCTTACTCACAGATTGTGCATAAAAAAATACCTGTTCGAAGGCTTGTTGGGGTGAAAGAATAAGACTTCTCTTCCGGCCTATTAAAAAATGACTATCTATCAAAAAAAAAAGAAAAAAGTCGCAATACTTGCACGTGGAGCAGGGTAGTAGACACATTATAATTTTTACTTTTAAAACACTGTCCGAATCTAAAAATAATTTCAAATTGACTGTTTAGCAATTGTTCTCACATACGTACAATAAAGGCAAAGCCATTCCGTTACTTTCGCCTCTGATCTATGTACCTGAATAAATAAGTTTGAATTTGTTGTTTACGCATAAAAAATCAAAAAAAATTCCAGATTTTAAAGTATTCTTGTACGAAATTACTTAGCACAAAATTTTAAAAATAACGAAGCTTCTTTAAAAGATCAATTTCATTAACACTGTATTAAAAAACTCTTTCAACCTAAAAAAAATTCAAAGCTTTTCTTTCTGACAAACGCGTGCACATGTATTAACGTATTTGCACGCTTGTGTCATAATAGAAAAAGCAGAATAAAAGAACAAAAAAAAAAAATTGAACGGATTGAGAAAAACACTAATGCAACGTGTGTGTTGCCTAACGTGCAGAGAGACGGTAGAAACATAAAAATAATATGTTAAAAATAGAATAGAAACAACAATACGCAATAAAAGGCGGGTAAATATCACAAACACTCACATCAGTGCATTTAAGCAGCAACCTTAACAGTACTTGGTAGTTGGGTTGTTTGGTTAGGCGGACTCTATCATAGCCCAAAAATATTGAAACAGTCCACCCAACTCACCATACCCACGCAATTATAACTCATATTAATCGTATACACACTTGATGTACTTTTATTAATAACACTAATATGTGATACCAATATGCTCTCGATATATATTTTTTTTTTTTTTTTGATTTATTTGTGTGTTTAATTTCTTTACTCTACCTGTACTGTGAATTTATGTATTAAGATTCTAACGTCAACTTTAGAAGGAGTCTATTTGTTTGTCAGCTTGCACGGTTACGCTTTGATGAATACTCACCGACATTTTTCAAATCCCATATACTTAAATCGCGATTCTCTTCGGGTACTCCAATCATAAGCAGCTTTTTGGTGTCTCGAAATTGAAATGGTAAGATTATGCCTGAGCGCAAGACCATGGTTCACTATTTTATTAATATCAGTTAAATTAGCGATTTTTCAAAACACTTCACCAATTTAAAATGTTTAAAAAAAATCCTCTCAAAATAAAAAAAAGTTTTTTGCTTTTATTTTTCTATTTAATTTGTTAACCTGTCAAAATGAAAAATTCTTCTAATCTTTTTTCACATTTTTACACATTCTATTCGTGTATCATCGTGTTGCCTTACACGATTTTTCGTAAACAAATTTAAAATTACGACATAAAAAAAATATGAAATTACGATAATGAAACAGTGTCGCCACCTAAATGATAAATACTTCCCTGCCGATTGAGATATAAAACCGACCGCAAGAAGACCGCAAAATTAATAATAATTTTAATTATTGTAGTGGCAAGCCATTATCAATTAACTATCTCTATTGTTCGACATCCCTTGCAAGCAGAAGCTTAAAAGTGTGCATTCCGATTTAAGGGCCACACAATAATATAATATAAGCCAACCAAAGACATAATAAATATATTTTATTCAAGTTTTTTTCTTTTTTTTAGTACGACATAAAATTTTATGAAATAAGCGATCCTTGTCAATCACTGTATCGGTTTAAAATTAGCAAAAATATATTTCTATTCTTGTATATTCGTTTGAGTTACAAGATTTTCAATTTGCGATTTTTCATTTACGAATATTACTTTAATATGGGCATTACTTTACACCTCGGCTACCATATATAATAATAAAAATGGAAATTAATACGTATAATTTCACAGGTGGGGCTTGAAAATAGACCTGATACGCTTGCGTTTATCAGCGGAATTGGAAAACTGAAACAATTTGAATAAACTGAAAACTTCATTGTTTATGTCCTGTATGTGAAATATGACAGACAAGTATATATATACCGAGGCCATGAATTAAAAAAAAAAGTGGATTTTTTCTCTCTCTCTCTCTCTCTCTCTTTATTATTATCTTAAAGAGTACAGAATACCGTGTCGTACAAACCGAAAAGATATATACGAGAAGCGAGTAAATGTATTATGCAGAAATATTATTAAGGACAGCTCAGCCGTTATAAGTTCGGAAGTTATTGTAACTTTTTTAATATTATATATATATATTTTTTTTTTTTTTTTTTTAATATAACTTAATTCAAAATATTACAACAAAAAAATTTTTAAATTTTTTTCCAGCGACCTAGAAAAGTATTGCAGCTGGGGCAGGTGTGGTGAATATCTTTAAAATTGTTAGTAAAAAATGGCAATAGACAGCAACCACACCAACATCTGAAAAAATCAAATAATAATAAAAATGAAGAAACGGATGAAGGTGTAGGTAGCATACCCACAGATTGTAAAGCCGAAAAACACCAAAAATGCGCATAAACCGGGTATATAAGTCACTTTTGTTTCAACTTTACTTAAACATGCTGGACATATTACGTTAAGAGGCACGTCGTCAAATTCAACTTCATCAATCTGAAAGAATTTGATTTCCTCCTCTCTTTTGTTTTCCTTTCGAAAATGCATTAATTTTGCCATAGTTAAAAATCGTGAATAACGCAACGACTTTTGGTTTTTCTGAGTTTCCGTTACTGCTACTTACTTTAAAAAAGAAAGCAAAATAATTATCATAAAAGTAAAAAAGACATATTCCCATATACATAGGAATTTTTATTTTTTAATTATAAACTACTTCCATACCGAATTTGTAATATTATCTAATGCCTTCGACATATTCTAGATGATAGGCCTTTTTTCTCACTTTTTTTAATTTTTTTTCAAGATATTTTATTATAAGTTTTTGGTTTCAAATTTCGGGTGATATTTCAAATTGCAAGTTTCCAGGCTTTGTATATAAAACCCATATGAGTCTTTTGTTACAAATGACGACATGCTAATTGGCCCATCTTCTTTATGACTTTTCGATAAATAATAACTGACGTAGAAAGTATTGCTTCTTCAGCGGGTAAAACTTAGCCAATTCGCGCTTACATATCTTGACATTTGCATCGTAACTAATCAGAGCTGTACTATTGGGGTCAGTGTATTTAGATACAAGCCGTAAGGTACAGGTAAAATTGCAACTTTACTGCATTAAAAGTTTTCATTATTTTAGGGTTTCGTTTCTTCACTTTATCTAGCTCGAAAGTTCGAATCTCGAAAGCATTCTCGGGATAATGATACTAATATTTGATTTCTAAGTAATACAAGCGAAAATTTAACCCAATACACATTGGAAAAGTCTACTTTCGAAATTAACCAAAATGAGAAAGAACGAAATAGAGATTTCGGGCTTAAATAGTTTGCAATACGTTCGGATAAGAAATACTTTTCATTTTTTCCTTTCTGACGTTTATCGCTATTCACTACGATTTTGCAAGATGTAACAGCTGTTACGATAGGAAAAATGTTTATTATTAATAAACTTTTGTGTTTGCCAGGTGGAGAACCCGGGTCAAGTGTCCTTTACAGGCTTTCTTCGAAACTGACTTAATGTCACATAGGACGCTCAGCAGAAGTTGATACAAATGAGAGTCTGACGGCGTGAAGTCCGTGTGGCGACCAAATCACTCAGACGATGTCCCACATTTGTAGAATTCGGAGACGGTCGGAAAGCGGTGGGAAAAGTGTGCTTACGTGCAACATCGATAAATGCTATGGCTTTACCGAGTAAGCATTGACAGTAACTACGACCAAAGTAAATTTTGCCGTATTGAGATTTGAACAGAGACGTGGTTTTCACGATTCTTACCAACTCGGCTATTTATGTGGATCCGTGCTATATAGTAGACTTCTTCAATGGTCGACAGATCGTTAAAAATAAGTGATCTGCATTTATCAGTTCGCTGTTAAAAATCCTCCCTGTTGACGAGTTGCATTTTAGCCCTGCCTAGTACAGTATGCATTTGCACATATGTTACGACAATATTCATCATATTTTAGGATTACGATTTCAGCAAACCACGGCTGCGGTATTTTGGACCTGCATTGAAATAGTATTTTATTAAAAAAATCACTTCAAATTTATAATTTTCGACACGCACAACAAAAACCCGTATTAAGTGACTGCCCAAAATGCGCTACCAAATTATATAACAACACATTTTGCATATGATGGATTGATGTAGCGAGTTGATCTTTTAGTTCTAACTGAGGTCTCAAACATAACATTACATAACATTTCCCTATTCACAGACAAAAAAATGTACAACATATCAAAATTTGCTAAGGACGAATATGATCGTTTAACTTATTAATAACTTTTTTGAATTCGGTGTTAAATCTTAACGGTCTTATTATAAGATTAAAATTGGACTAAATAAAATTTTTTCGCGTATTTGCTATGCTTGAACAACAAACTGAATCACTATAAAGATTGAAATTGTTTTACAACTACAACAACTTCAGAAAGTATTTTTATTATTGCAGTTAGCTTAGCCCATCGTATGTCTAAAGCAATCCTTACTGCGTGTATTTGACTACACGTTTATTTTAATTGTAACACGTTTTCCAAATGAATTTTGATTGAAATTCTGGTGACTAGAAAATTGTACACTTATTTTCAAACGGTAACGTTGATAAAAATTCGAGCTGGGTTGCCAACAATCGAAGAGATTTTTTCGTTGGATTTCATTACCAAATGTCGCTAGAATGATATTTATGGGAAAGTGGTACACTCCAGTAATTGCTTACAGAGTTCGACTAAGCACTTAACGCAATAATCCTTATTTTTGGGAAATGATTTGAACTTTGCCAAATTTTTACAAGACAGTTTGTGGGAATTTGTGGTTCATATGATGAAATAAAACGAAATTAAAAGAAACACGCCAGAAAATAAAGGCGAATCATTTCCAATTTTATATATATTTATCAAATCCAAATAATTAGAACCAATCTTTTATTTTGTTTTAGCACGTGAAGTCCTCCTCCGTTCTCCTTCTTTTAAAGTCATTTGTCTTCATTCTTTATTTCATTAATCAATCAAAAATTCATTTTGCTTTTATAAAAATTTTCTTACGGTTGTTGCGCAATATTTCTTGCTTACATTATTGCTGATTTCCTTTTTCTTTGGGAATAACGCATTATTGTTTTTAGACCTATGGTGACTAATATAATGGAGCTAGACTAATATTTCTACGTCTTAGGGACACATTCATATTATAAATTTGTAAGTTATAAATATATATAAATAAACTATAAACTAAATTTATCTCGTATTTTATGAAAAATCTATAATTTAGATACTTCCCCCAGCCCTGGATGTATAAACGAAGCTGCGTTATGTCAAGCCCCCACGATTTGTTAATTCCCAAAAAGCCTCTTAAATACTTAATACTAGTTATTGCGCTTTAAAAAACATTTGATCCTTATTGTGTCAGCTTTTTGTTTACTATCATACTATGGACATAGGAAGTCTATATTTTTATATCGGTAACAATTATTTGAATAACTGCTGTTGTGAATATATCCAGATCGTAAACGAATATTTGTCGATACTGACAAATGAATAATTTTAAGTATTTTTGCTTATTATCTCAAAAAGTACAAAAATCTATTGGGATACACTTATACATTGCTTCCTTGGAAACCTTTGGGAATTATCAAAGGAAAACGATAGCTGATTTTTCGAATACCGTTTATTTGAATGGATTTAGAATGTAAATCGATAAATATATTCTTTACTTATATTTTTACACATGTCTACAGTCCATAATCAATATGAGACTTTCAAATAAAATCAACGTAAACACGATTGTCCTGTAGAGTACAATTTTTTTTCTGCAAAACAATCAGAGTTAGAATAATCGATATTCGATTAATCAATATTCCTTTTCTTTGTAATTGAAAACGTAAGCAAAATACGATGCTGTCTCGCAAATGGTATGTGCTGCTGTAGGGAAAAACTTTATCGCCGGAACCGGCCCAAAAATGCTTCGCATTTGGGGCAAATATGGCAAACGTCCTGCAATTCTTTAATGCAAAACGGCACAAGACAACAACCAGCACCTAATCTACAATTAATTAATTGTTTCGTTTTCAGTATTTTGATATTGCAACTGTTATGAGATCACTTGCCCGAAAATGCAAACTGCAGTACAAGTAATGCATGTAATCCAGCCGGGCTTGTAGACGACTGTTGTCTGCATTTCAAAATTACAATGTGGACATCTCATGAATATTGGACCTGGGCCAATTGGCACCGGAGGTACCTGAGGTACCGAACGCCTCTGAGCTATTGCAGCCTCTTGATGCCGACAAGCAACGAGCTCACTATTTCGTCTCAAAATTGCTTTCATTTCTTCTATTCACAGACCTCCCAGATGTATTTCAGTTAACGCGCTTACAATAGTAAGGCGTCTCGTATCATTCGATGTATTTTTTTCTCACTTGTGGAATAAATTTTGAAAGCATGCACTGCAAGGATTCTCTAACACGAGAAGGTAAAAATTAAATAAACCAATCATATTTTCTATATCACGTGTAATGTGTAAAAAATAATAAAAATGAGTTTACATAAGTTGGCGAATTAATGACATAGCTTGTTTGCTCTGCATGGCTATGATTGCAGTTCGTATCTACGATTATTCGAAACTTTATTGCCCTGTAGACTTTTCTAAATTCATTCATCGAACTTTTTTCTTAAATTTTCTTTTTACTAAAATAAAGTGTAAAAATTCCAGAACAAATAGAAAATTTTTGGTCCTTCTTAAGAATTCTTTTAAAAGGAACCGTTCTTGCACTAACGCAAATATCTGCAAACGTTTTCAATTTAACACATTTTCCCCGGCTCAATTAAACTTATTCACTTATTCATATAATTTTTTTTTTTGTATTTTTTCAAAAGTCAAAGCAGGCAAATAGCATTAAGGCTCTGTAAAGAAGAAGGTGCATGCCTCTCTTTCAATACGATTGCCTCGAACATTGTAAAAGTCAACAATCGAAACGGATATATATATATATAGCGCGTAAGCGTTACTCACACATACATGTTCGGAAAGAATTTAGAAAAAATTAGAAGAAGCATTTCGAAGAAATTAGAAAAAACTTAGGGTCAATCAGAGAAGAGTAACTTGCATATAAACTTTTACTTTCTCTAATTTTTCGATTTAAAAATAAGGCTCTAAAGAGTAAACAGCGCGTCCTTTGCGAGACTTCAAGATCCCTTGATAGATTGTTTTGGCTTAGTGGGTTAATAAATGCGTTTAAAGTTGACTATGGCTATTAGAAGAAACATGTCAGCAAACCAAAACGTGAACTGGTCACAATCATTAAACATATGTTGTTTTGCTGAAAAGCCATAAGCCTATTATGAATTAAAGGAATAAGCTATATGTTATGAGTTTGCCGACATCCCTAACGCACGATAGTCTTGTGACGAATTTGTACATAAAGTACAATATAGGAAAAAGGCCATCACGGTCGCTTATGATACAATTAAATATGGTTTGACTAAAATACTCCCTAGTGCAAGTTTCTCTCATAAATTTATGAATCGCTCTCAGCCTCATATCTTAACAATCGTCTAATGAAGTTATACGAGTACTTTTTGTATGAAAATGCTTTTAAATGAGCATAAAAATTTTTCAAATCTATTTATTAGTGCATTAAGGAAGTCAGAAGTCATAGGATATAGAGATTTTGTATATATGCTCATTTGACAACGGATGTCTTCTCGTAACGCTTGGAGACACAAAATTTGAAAGAAAAAAAATACTTTAAGGCAGATGGTTCAAAGCACCCGTTAGATGCATAAAAAAAGTATTTTCTGAAAAGCTTACTATATCCGCTTACTATATACCCTACATGTGGAAACTGGCTGTAGTTGATCCAATTTCAAAGTCAAAAAATATCTCCATCGCATCGGACTATTGCTCAATATATTTTTTATCTTGGCTACCAAAAGCATTACAAAAGATTATAGCATCTAGATAATCTTGATTTCTTGAGTCCAAAAACCTTATTACAAAACAACAAGTTGGTTTCAAGTCGGGTAGACGCTCTTTTCTATATTGATTATTTTATAACCAAAGCAATTTCTGAACGGAATTATGTAATGATTCTCTCAAGTGTTTGCGAAAAAGCATTTGACAGAGATGATTTTCATGTTATTTAAAGCCTTATGAAATCGAGGAATGTTGGATCCAAATTCTTCAACTACATCAAATCATTCATGTCGCATCGGCCGTTTTAAATTACAGTTTCATAAGTATCTCCTCTTTCTGACACGCTTTTTAGATCGCTTTCAATGAAATTAACAAAATTCTTTGCGTGTACCGCGATCCGAACACAGTCTCTACGCGGACGATCTATAGATATAAAAAAAAAAAAAAATATAGCACGAAGGCAATCAACATCCTCGAATATATTGCACGAGAGATCTCCACATGGGCAAACTCGTCAGGCGCTAAAATTTCTATATAAAAATCAAAAAAAATGCACATTTGTCGAAAGCAAATATGTGATGGCGAACATCGACTGATGCCTATTAATGACTTACTAATACAAAATGTGCAGACGTTCCATATTCTCGGGCTCACGTTTTCCAACAAACATTGTTGGAAAATACTGTCTTCGGTTAAAAAATTTTATTTTAACAAAGGTGAATTTCATACAATACGTTGCTTGGAAAAGCCATGCACCCATTAACACCATTGCTTATCTTATCAAAATGCTACTTTTAAGCAAGATTAACTATGCTTTGATAATTTGTTGCAAAAGCAGCAAACCTAATGTCGACATACTTAAATCGATCTATCACCAAGTCCTTAGAGTAAGTTGCTATGCTTTTTGGACGATGCCCATCAGCAATAATACAATTGAAACTGATCTCCCAGCTTTAGAAAATAGACTTTATTAGTTAAAAGCTAAAATTGTCCTCAAGCCTCTTATTTCAAACAAACTTATTCTCGGTGAATTTGTGAGAAAGATTATTATTGCCAAGAAAATTCGACAACTGACCATTGCTTGTACGTCGCAAAGGAATTGAATATTCCCCTAAAAATTTACCGCTATTTTGGTCTTAAACCCGCATGGGTTTTGAAAGACTATTCTTTTGACATTTTGCTGTCTATGTACAAGAAAAAAGACATTCCAAGTTACTTCTTTAGGAATCTAATTGGTGAAAAAACCCAACTGCTGGAGAATAACGGTTGGAATCTTTTGTACTTAGATGGCTCAAGATCTTCCGATCCAGCACCTGCTTGTACCGTGGTAGATGCTTTAGGACAGCTACCTCTCAATCGCATATTTCAAGAATTTTCAAAATTGAAGTCCTCAGTGCTATCCTTTACGCTGGGAACCTTTCCCATAAAGACAAACTCAAAACCGTCGCTGTTACTAATAGTTTGTCTGTATTAAAAGGTATACGGAATCCTTCGACTTCGAGATGGACCACCATCAACGCATTAAAGAATATCATTACAACACCTGGCGAAAAAATTTAATTGCTTTGGATCACAAGTCATATCAGTTTATTGGGAAATGAGCAAGCTGATCGCGCGGCAAAATATGCTGGATCTTCAAAGATATATTGGAAGAAAAGTTAAGGAGAATATTATGGAAGGAAATCTACAATGCCATCATCAGCACTACTCTCTATTAACCGTCAATTAATTCCACCTTTATATCCAACAAATGTTGAGAAAACCAAGATCCAAGCATTTTCAAGAATTTTCCTTAGCCATATAATTGCATCTCACCAATGGATCTTAAAGAAGTCTTCCTCCTGCAATCTGCAATTGTGGACAAATTGTCACTATAAAGCGCATTCTCTGTGACTGCCTTAACTGTTTCTATTCCATTTGGAACGAGTAATCCTATGGACATTCTAAAATCAGCTACGGAACAGAATATCAACACAATATATTACTTTATTAAAACTGTTAGGCTGAATATCTAACGTAGGTTTATAAATTAGACCCCGATAGCCTGGGTTGTTAGTGCTCAATGTTTTTTCGTTTAGTCTAAAAATTTATTTCATTAGTCCCAAATTATAATAATAATAATAATAACAATGGTGGGAATGTATGCAACACCCAGGAGGACTTGATATAGACCCATCTCCTTGTTCCACTAAAGTGCTTCACTTGCTTTTATATATAACTTGTTTAGATAAATAAATGCATTTAAACTAGAAACAAAAACGATAGCATCTAATTATATCCATGACTCTCATAAGAGACTACCAAGCTCATCTTGGTTAAGCTCGCCGTAATTTAGTTTCTCATTCTCGTTGCTGCTCTCTAATATCTTAAAAAATTATTTTATGCAAGATTTTTAATTATCTTTTTTTTAGATTCATCAAAAATTCCTATTGTCATGGAAAATAAACAAAAGGACAAAATCGTCGACGACCATCCCATGTGTACTCACCTTGCGTGTCGGTCCTTAATGTCTGTTTTATTTAAACATCAATTAACGTTGTATCCCCCAGTCCGTCCCACATCTTTGTAGAATTAACTTTACGCATAATAAAAAAAAGGCCGACTTGCCTCAATATCGAAATTAAATGCTTGTAATTTATTAAAAGCTTACGTTTATTCCAAAAAATTTTGTTACTCAATTTCTCACTTAATCACGCCAATGTATATTGAGTCATGCATTGCATATGTTGCATAATGGTATAAGAAAAGTGTATTATTTTAAAGATAATTTAGTCATATAAAATATATTAAAAAATTTGAGCAATTTCTTTATAATTGTGCAAAATATCTATCTTTGTAAGTATATCAGTTTCCAGCTGTCAATATATGAAGTAGATAAGAAATTCAAATTTATAGGAGACAAATAAAATAACAATAAGAAAAAGATTAATATAACAATAAGAATAATAATTAGAAGTTTCGTCGTAGAAGCATTCTTTCGATTAAAAGTAAATTTACTTTAATATGTTTTAAAGGAAACAAGATGATTGCGGCAAACATCGAGGGTACGTTTGTCGTATTCATCTGCTGGCTATACTTGTACTAAGCATAAAATTAGAGAAATAAAGGAAAAATCCGCTTGCGAATGATAAACGTGTTACGTTGGTTATTAGAAAAGCCGGTTTATCGACGATAGCGGCCCAGGTATGCCTTGCAGTTGGGGCATGTGTGATGCACGTCCATACACTCGTCAATGCAACACGGTATCAGACAACACCCCAGCCAACATCTGTTAGAACATTAAAGGTAGAAAGTTTTATTTAAATCATCTTATAAAAGGATATTAAGCATTACTCTTACCCCAGCAAAGCAATTACAAAACCAGACAAATATGCAATCATTCCGGGTTCAGTGCGTGTAGTTGTTTCAATTTCAGCATGACATGAAGGACATATCATGTGGGTGGCTGTACGGCCAATTGGTACCACCGTAGTTACAATGGCGGCGTTAGCTGTTGTCGGTGCTGTAACTGGCGTAAATGGTCCCACTGGTTTAACACCGCCCACTGCTTCCTGATAGGAAGGAGGGGCGGATGGTGGTGGAACGTACGTATATTGTGGAGGTGGTGGACCTGTAGCCTTACTCATTGCTATTATAGGTTATATAAAGTATTGCTGCTACTTTTAATTGTTTAATATCATGTATATTCAAGCAATGATGGCAGTGATAGCCTCTTTATAATTGGCAGGAAAGCAACAAAAAGCCGTTAACCAATTGTTATAATATTATTTCGGTGATGTACGCGTTGCTTGGCTCTGTATAGTTGCTTAGTAATAGTATAAAGTTGCCTAGAAGAAAAAAATTATATTATTATAAGAAATGAGGTAGAATCAATAAAAAAAAAAAATTAATATTTGTAGGAAACAAGTATAACCGCATGAATTTTATCCATCTGCCCCATTAGCATATCGCTGAAAATATTTGTGGTAGTTGTATTCAATGTATGTAGAGCTAAGTTCAATAACATTCTTATTCAATACAAAAGATGATGCCACTTAAAATACTGTCTATTCGGTACGTTTCGAAAAATATATGTCATCTTTCTAGATAATACAAAAATTAACACAATTCTTTACCTGCCCGACGAACCTGAAGAATCCATTACCAAGATTGTCCTACATTAATTAAAATTAATTGTAATAAAATAGAGATAAAGTACGAAGAGTTTGATACAATTGCCGTCTAAAAAAAATTGTCAGCAAGATGATCATGCCGTTTCTTTCGCCTTGAAATTTTTCTGAAGCACCTGGCGATCATAAAATTTAGATTTCTATTCCATCCATTTGTTTGGGTTTTCCGTATATGCAAACTTATGTGCATATGTGTATACCGTTGCGCATATTCACTTAAAAGCATTGATTTGTTTATGCTTCTGAGAGAGTGAGGCATCATTAGCAGAATTTTCGGCCATAAAAATAATGGAAATGAGAGAGCAAGCAATCAAATGGCTGCTAATTAACAGCATTACTGCTGTCATTGATAACGGAAACACGACAAGTGCGTAATAATTTCGTATTTTGAATTTTGTAGAAAATGTCTTGTCAATTAGTTATCTCTTGTATTTCACTCTATTGCATGAGCAAATAAATACGAGTAATAACTTTACACTTTAATATTATGTAATGGATTTTTCATGTTTAAAGTGAATATTCATAATTTGCTTTTCTTGATTCGGTCATGAAATTTTATATTATACCCTACGGCGATTTTGGCACAGATATATTAAATTGGCTCGGCTCAAACCAGAACCATTTTCCGAACTGATTGAAACACATCTGTCCGCTCACGCATCTTTCCGAAGCATATGCATGTGCTTCTTTGTTCGATTACAAATTTTGAAATATTTAGATGAAATTCGATGAAAAACGTCGATATACTTTGGCTCAAGCATAAACGCTGATCTCGCTTGTTCGCCTATTAAGTCGCGACTTATTAAGGTTATGTTATTATCTTTACAAAAGATTATTTATCTCTTATTTACATTTCTTTTAATGATTCTTTTGTTTAGGTTGTGAGAGTAGAAAGTGCAAAAAATCAGGGGGATAATCATCTTGCTGAAGGTTGGCTTCCGCTTTCGTTTTCAGCTATTTTGTAAAAACAGCTGAAAACGCAAGTTGAATTTTCCATACGGGATTAACCGCCGGGTGGTATTGTTAGGTTAGTCATTTAATAATGCTGAAAGGCCACAAATTAGTTAAAAAATAAAGAATATGCGTAACTGCTCGTAGATATTTTTTTCAACAGTCCACTTTTGATGCCTTCCTTAGAATGCAAACTTCGCTTTATGACATCCATTTGCGTGCGGCTATCTATTTTCTTTTTTTTTCTCCCAATTAAATTCTTATTATATGTTATTATTATTTTTGTGTCTTTGATGTGTCCTTCATCTAAACAAATCTGGATTGTAATTTGAACCAAAATAATTTTAATAAATTCACTTCTACAACTATAAATTTCAAAGAAAACAACGTCTGTACAATTAGAAAGATTCCACAAGAACGTTTTACTAATCTCAACAAGCAAGTCGTAAATATGAATAGATATCTATTAATATATACACGTATGAAGAATTAAACTTAATCCTTTACTAAAATTCCTATGTATTTCAAATGAACATGAACACTAGACATTAATGGTTCCTGAAAAGTTTTCTGAGGAGTGCATTATTTTAACCTTGCTTTCATGATTGACAAATCGATAAAAGGTCATTTTTGGATTCATTTTTTTTTATCTGTATAATATATATAGTCAAAGATAAATTAATTGTGTGTAGAAAATATGGTAATCGGTACAATATACTAATCCATACAATCTATATCGATGATTATCTCGAATGTTTTAATAATTCTACCCAAAAACTTTTTTTGTGGAATTGGTAACTCTACTCAGATATTTGTTGCAACTTAACTAAGACAACATTTTTTTCCATAACTTTTCTACGTACTATAAAGTCTTCAACAGTTTGCTAGGAATGAAGTTAATTTGTTTTCTGTTAGCCGCTCAAAAGATTTCACAATTTCCTAAAAGCATAAGTTTACTGCTTTAAGAGATTTAAACTCAATATTAAAATAACGACATAATTAAATTTAAATATATCGAAAACAGCAAACAGAAACGAGCGATGAGGTTAACATTTTCGATGCCTACTGATTAAATGCAAAATATATATATAGTTTGGACCTAATATTCTATCTGGTGGGGGGAAGAATTTATTTCACGTTTCTGTTTTCAGCCATTTTTGCTAAAGGGCTAGTGACTAACCCCAGAGGGAACATGCGGTCAGCATGCGAACAATAGAAAAGTAAACAAATCCAAAATTCTCTCTACGAAACCAAAACCAAAATACATTGTACCAAAGAAATCAAACACAAAAAAATATGACAATTGACTTTCTGGCTTTTGTGACCGTTAACTATGAAGATGATCAAAAATTTGAACAAAGTTTGTGTTCAGCTATTTGGCAAAAACGGCTAAATACAAAAGCGAAAGCTAACTTTCAGCTGCATGATTACTCTCTGATAAACTCTTTCACGTTTAATTCTGTTTTTGATAAGCAAACTTTCCAGGAAGAATTAATGCATTTCGGAAATGATTTCTTGGCTATAGCGCCACGGTACTGGCTTACAGATAGGCAAGTTCTGAAAAAGCACACTGCAGGCACCTTGATGCGAATGCTGGAGTTGTAACGAGGGCCGTGCATAATTATGGAATTCACGTTCTACATTGAACTATAAACTATAAAGGCTATGAAAAGTTTAATACTATTAGGTAATTTAAAATTTTTGAATTCTACTTTTTGAGACGCACTTTCGATTGTGACCATCAGAGGAGTGCGTAATGAATTCGTTTAAAGGAAAGCGCAAGAATGCATCAATATCAAGAGATCCTTTTTTTCGATCGTTAATTATCATGTTTGTAATGCTTGAATGTTAGGCCCGTAATTAGAGATCTGTGTTCAGTATAAATAGCCTTTTGCATCATCATGCAGAACATCATCAATTCATTTTCTTAATATTGACTGTACTCGCATCTTTTGTTAAGTATAAGATAATCTGTTTAGAGAAAGCTAGTGTAAGTATGACTTTTATGTTTATTCTGCTTAATAACATTCAGTGCTTTCTCATTTGTCAGCTCTAGGCAATTACACTCAGTCATTTAATTTACAAATATTTACAGACCCCTAATCTAACGAAGATTAATGCTTCTACTAGCTATCCACAATTTTATTTGTTTTTATGTTGAGAATTTAAAAAAAAAAGTATTTTACTACTGCTGGTAAGCTATCTGTTTACAATTATTGACACTACTAATTGTTAAGGATGCAAAGGTTTGATAAGATTGCAAATGAACTGAAAAGTTCACATGTCGTCAATTTATGATTGAAGCAAACGCTGTGACTGAATCACCCAACTCTATGCTCGTATCCAGATATAACGCCAAAATTTAGCCAACTGTATTTCTCCATGACAACGTTAGAGTAGACTACCGCGTAGCAACAGTTTGTAAAACGGCTCGCTTTCTTGCCTCTTGCAAAAATTTCTTAGACATTTGGGGATGGTAAGAAAAAGTGATGGAAAACATACGTTGTTGTTGGATTAGTAAATGTAATTTCCAATGAAAATTTATTATACATCATTTTATCGTTTCAGATGGGGCGCAAACTTCCATAGTTTTCGGCTGATACAAATATATATACATATAAGCGGAGAAGCATATTCCTCCTGGATTTTAATTTCTCTCTGACCGTTAGCTTAGATTAGTAATACATATGGTATCGTACATTAATTAGATATATAAAAAATGTTTGCGACTACCTTGCGATCTGTAATGTTGCTGAAGATGTGCTCTTAAAATAATATAAGAACAGGTCTTTTCGCTTTATTTCATACTTGATCATTACTGTGTCATCATCTCCGATAAGAAATTTTGAATTCCAAATTTTGATTCAAATGAGCTAACCCCTGTCATCTCTCCGCTCATGCTGGAGTTTCTAAAGAACAAGATATCTGATTTATACAAAAAATTGCTTAGTTTAAAGCAAATTGCAAAAAATCACATTAAAAGTAATAACGTTTTTGTGCTTGTTTATATATACTTATACTATGATAAGCATCTGAACCCCCCTAAACTTAGGAAACATCGTTATTCTGCCGAAAAAGATAATGATTGCTTTTTCTATTAATATCCCAAAAAATTCGTTTAATAAAATATTTGGGTTTACTCCATCACGGGATGTATTCTGCGGTTATGATCGGTTATTAACCATAATAAAAAAAAAAAAACGCTAATGTAAGCCCATAAGACATTGGCAATTTTCTCACTTTTTAAACTAACCAAATTATATCCTCATCAAGGGATTCTTTCGGGTTCTTTATGATGGCCCGGTTAGTTAGACGCCTACGACGCTCTTCTTGAAAGAGAAAAAGGTTTTTGTAACGCTAAGCTGTACTCATGTCGACTTTAGATAGAAAACCAAATGACGGATAAATAAAAATCTTGGATAGAAAATGATATGAGCTTTCTCTGCTACTGTAAATAGAAAGCAACGAGAAAATAGTGTAATAGCGCGATACTAATAAAACGTTCCGTTATTTGCTACTAAATCAAGTATATATTCATATTATAGATACACTATAATATTAAATCTATCTAAAATCTATTATCTACATGTGTATCTTCTAAGATTTGTAATGGCTTTGCTTCTATATACCTATATATATATATATATATATATGTATATATAAAAGTTAGAAAAATGCATTTGTCAAAGTCTAGTCTCTTGTAGTTGAATTAGTTTAAAGGTTTACGCTTAGATGCACTTCGAGAACCGTGTAAATCATGAAAACAAATATTACGAAGACTGTAATGTAAGATATTCATTTAATTTAAACTTTTCATATCACTACTTTACGCAATAAAAAAAATTTCATAAAAGATGTCATAAGAAGTAGTAGTTGAACTACGATAATATAAGCGTTTACATGCCTTTTAAACGTGTAGGCCTTCATCATATCAGCCTTCGGTATGTTTACGCGTAGAATGCGGGCCAAAGTTATTAGCAGAGCATTCGATTTAAAAAGAAAAATGTTTAGATCTAAAAAAAAAAAAAAATTATTCGTAAATTGAATAATTTTCTAAGACAAGAGATGAAATGCAACAACATTTGCTGAGCTTGTGTGTCCCGTTTTTTACTCACTTATGTTTATATCAACACAAATGTGAAAATTTATTTTTTCATAGCATGCATAGAATATCAACATACAATCAAAATTAATGGAATAAAAACACACTAAAGACGTCAGAAAATGTGGAATTAAGCAATTGTTTCTTATTAGAGCTTTTAAAGCTAAAGTTTGATGTTATTCATTCTACCCGATTAACTTCTACTAAGTTAAAAATTCAAAGTGAATATTATCTGCTTATTAATATAACTCGTAATAAATGACACGTGTCTGCAAAATATATTTATATCCTACACCACTTGAGGTCGAAGATGAATTAACTTTGTTCAGATGAATGTATGTAACACCTAGAAGCTTATAGTAATAATTACCAGAAAACGACTTGAAAGTGTCCATGCGACCCATATCTTTTGTGTTCAATTTACGGATCGCTATTTTTCAAATAATTTGACACTT